TTCATTTAAAGATGTCATTGATCATTTTCAAGTACTTTTTGGATGAACTATATAGTATAAATATGCATGAATGTCTAAGTACTATTTTCAAGTTGTAAAGGACAACTAGAGGGAGAAAGGAAAATTTTTATGAAGAAATTAATTAAAGAAAGGAAATGAGGGAATATGACATTGAACGAGATTTTCCTTTTTCACTGGATTTAACTGTGTGTATATTGTCGAATTTAAACTTTTGTTTAAAAGTTTTTTTTAATTTTAATGAACATAATGTGGCAATAATAATATACTTACTTACTTTCAAATTAATTTAATAAAATATGCATACATGTATAGTGTTTTGTTTACATAACATTAATTATGAATTATTTCATCGCTGAAAAGCGTTTCTCATCATGCAAATTGATAATGTAATTAAATTATTTGCAAATGTGAGATTGAATTATTTGCAACTTGAGAAATACAGACATTATTATCATCTGAAAGCAGAAACATTCCGTCCCCATAATTTGACAAAGAGAAAAGACAGATACCTGCTTCTTTTATATTTATATAATAAATTCTTAAATTTATATCTGGTTATAAAGCACATGCACGTTGTTCTATCTACGTATAATAATAATAATAATAATAATAATAATAATAATAATAATAATACGATCCATGTCTCTATACGCTGCAAAAATTGTCTTCTTTCACTCTACTTGTATTTTATTTATCGCTCCTGCACCAAAGGCTCTCTTTTATTTTAATGTAAATTAAATATAGAATACATCTACAGAGAGAAAGTAAGAGAGAGCAAATAGTAGACAATGACTGAAAAAAGAAAATAATTGATGAGAGATGAGTAAGAGAGAACATCTTCTTTGTATTTTAATGGTTATTAAATATTAATCATGCCAATATATGTTTGACGAAGCATAAAATTAAAGATAAAATTCAAATATGGTCATTGGATATTAGACATTATTTGAATTTAATTCAGCATATATTTTCTTTTTGCCAGCAATTTAGTGTAGAATTGAATTCGTAAAGGATTACCATTTCTTTTAATATAATTACTTGATATTCAATGCTACTAAATCAAAGTAATAAAGTATTATGAGGCCTAATTGAAGATAAATCTCTCAAAAACATTTTTACATCGTTATTATTGCGATGTGGTGACAGATGCTGATGCCAGCAGCGGCAAGGCGTTAAGGTTCATGTGGAGTTTTGCTTGGAACCCATGGGCATGTGAGACTTTCGACTTTCAACTATCAACTATCAAGTTTGAAGTTTAATTTGAAGCTTTCTATTTTACTGGCTTTAAATATTTGTATTTTTGTAGCTATCGAAATTGAAAAAGCAACGCCAATCGGCAGGTAGGTAGGATCCTTAATGATATTAAAATTTGTTTAAAGATATATAAATTAATTACCCCCACGATAGGTTCTAGTTTTCTACTTATTGCTTTTTGTTTTAGTGCATTCCCAATTACATGGCATGCAAGAGAACGACTTTTGCCGTTTCATACTGCCCTTTCTTTTTTACATACTCCTATCATTTATAACTAATAGGATTTTTTTTAATACAGGAGCTTTTTTATAGGGTAAACAAGTAAATTGACTCATAAATTATGGGTCCAAAATTGTTTGAGACCATAAATTAATATTTTGTGTAATTTTCTTGATTCGGTCCTATACCATATTCTTGAAGGCCCAACAGTTGTTAATATTGTGGCTCAAAGAATGATGGTATTGGTAACAATTCTTGCCCTTTCGTTCCTCCGTAGGTGGAATTTCATTGTTTGCGGGCAACGAGATGAACCTCTCATTCAGTAAGTAGTTGAATATATTTTCTATCTTTGAGGTGTCAAAAGTGTATTACATAACATTGGTAACACTGTCTCCAATACCTAGCCTCTTTGAGTCTTAAGAGTTACGTTAAGTACGTGCGTGGCACAACTCCTAATGATAACGGACCGTGCCTTGTCTTCATTTGAGCCTATCGTTTAAGTTTTCTTTTCTTTTTGTGATTTTAGGATGACACTTTGTTTTATGTTCAAATACTTTCTTTTAACTTCTGAAAACAGAGCAATTTGACCTTTGTCATTAACAAAAGTTTACTTTAACCATTATTTGATCAAAAAATGATAGATAGAATCTCAAAAATTACAAAAAAAAGATAAAAAAAATTATAAGTCTTTCACTATAATTTTTGAGCCATTTTTTATAATCTTAAAGTCATTTTTTGATCATTAACGATCAAAGTTAATTTTTATTAATAACAATAGTTAGATTATACTGTTTTCAATAGTTAAAGAGTAACATTATACAAAAAATAAGTAAAGTTAATTTTAATAACTAATTAATATATATAATAAAATGAAATGACTCATAAATTTGAGTTTTAAAATTTTAAATTATAATGTGATCCTTTTTTGTCATTCTTTGTCTATTTGTTCTTTTCTCTCATTTTTAGGTAATCGTTGTCCGTTCCTAACAAGTTTATTGCTTTTAACTAACCATATTTTGCAATAAACTGTAAAACACAATTAGTAGTTGTTTATTTATTACAATTTACGCCTGGACAAGCTCCTGTGGAGATTAATGTTTCCCATATTCCTTTTGTTGCGTGCTTCAACGCGTGGAGTGTGACTTGCTTTTCAAACCTTTTGACGATTGATCTACCCACGAGCGGCAAAACTATTTGTTTAGACACGGCTATCAAATTCATTTATTTATTTTTTATTAAATATTGGTGTAATACGGTTCGAAATATAATAGATATTAAATATAAATATATTTTTCAATAAAAAATTGAATCTTAATTTTTTATGTTATGAAGGACTAGTACTTTCAATTAGATTTAACCTTATTGGTAATATGGCTATCAATTTATGGTTTTAAAAACGAGATCAACTGCATTAATATACAATTAAATAATATACAGTACATATCTATATATGTGTTATGGATTTATAATAGGGAGGGAACCGTTCTCCTTTTGGAAGTATACTAGTCGTGTGATTTGGATATTTGATGCTTTAAGAAATTTTAAGAATGATTGGCCCACTCGTATAGCTACACCAAAACTCACCAAATATTTCTAATGATACACACAAGCGAATGAAAACACTTCCAACAAATTAATTTCAAGGTTGCCTCAATTGGCTAGTCTATGTCCTCATTTCAATATCTTTGGGGACACGCAATTCATTTGAATTGCCACTCAGGACTTTAATTAACGCAACATTATTGAGACAAATAAGCTAGAGGGTATAACAATGTTTGATTTCGAATACACTAAATTAATTTTTTATATAAATCATAGGAGAAAAATGTATTCACAAGCATCATTGTTTGTGGACGATGATGAATAATTTGAATGAAAAATATCTAAAGTTAGTGTGGATAAATATTATAATTTGTCCTGGAGGCCACCTAGTTGTCATGGTTCTAAAAGTAAAGGGAGAATGATATTAAAATCATAAACCAATGAATTTATAAAAGTTAAGTTTCCAACAAAACTTTCTAAAAAATCAATTATAAATATTGATTTAGGTAGCTATAAATGCAAGAATTTTAATTATAAATAAGATATTTAAGTTTTAAATGTATCTCTTAATTTTTAATTGAGATTTATGTTTGTAATTGTTTGAATAAATATTAAAAATTATTTTTTAAAAAATTTTTATCAAGAATTTAATGGTTATAAGTTTCAAATTTTGGCACTTTGCTGTTATTTTGCCCAAAAGCCTTACAGTTACTTTTTATCAGACTTCATTTTCAAAATTCGGCTGGGCTTATGTACAAGGCCCAATAATATATATTATTTATTTTGACCCTTAGTAATTTATAAGAAAAGAATTATATACTTAATCTGTTGTCTTTAATTAAATTAAGATATATAAATTTTTATATATTCTTTATTTTATAACAAACTAAGTATAAAAGATGGAGTGACTTCGTATTCTCTTAATCTGTATGGTTAACAACTTGTCAGCAATGTGTGGTTCCTAATATTGATAAAATCAGTTGTCTTGTCTAAATTTTTTAAATTAAAATCCAAAGATTTTAGATAATCATATATAACGGCAGGCGAGGGGCGGCTTCCAGAGATCAGTAGACAATAAATTGAAAAAATAACAATAAAATTTTTATAAAATGTATAAATAATAATTTAATTTTTAAAAATGTCATAATTCTTGTGAAGTCCCTAAAAATTTTTTTATCATTAATAAATTTATATAAATTATTAAATTATCTTTGTTGAAAATAAATGATTTATAAATTTTGTTTAAATATTCACAATTTTTTTTATATTCACAATAATGCAACAGCAAATAAGAAATTAACATGCGAAATTGAGATTTGCTCTTGCATTATTGTGAATATAAAAAAAATTTGTGAATATTTAAAAAAAACTTATGAATCATTTGTTTTCAATAAAAATAATTTGATAATTTATATAAATTTATTAATGACAGAAAGGTCTTTAGAGATTTCAAAAAAATTATGGTATTTTAAGAGATTAAATTATTATTTAAAAAATTTTAGAAGAAATTTTATTATTATTTTTTTCAATAAATAAATTTGTATGAATTTTTTTTTTTTGATAAAATTTGTATGAATTAAATGAGAGCTTATTGGCTTTTACAACCATGGAAACGAAATTGTCAGCCAGCCAGCCAGCCAGCCAGCCAGTCAGAGCACTATATTGCGGCAGGCCCATTGGACGGGCCCAAGCACTCATACACTAAAGATGGACCATGTTATGCGTACAAGCTTTCTGTTTCTGCTACTAATGAGCCTTTTGTTAATCGTACACGGCTAGCAAGCGAAGTCTTTCAAAACTCAGCGAAAAAAAAAAAAAAAAAATTCTTTCAAAAATCTTTTTTTTTTTTTTGGTGAACAACTTTTCCTCTTCCCAACTTTGCTTCCTATATTTCAAACTTTCAATCCATCACAATCCCTTTTTATGTATCACGTGCAAGTATTCAAGTATAGCCACAAATATCTTGTACGTGCATTTCATTTCATATCACGAGTGCTTCTCAGAGACCGGCAGGTTTCATTGCAAGAGAAAATGAGTGAAGCAAAGTTGATTGGCAGAGACAAGAGATGGTCGCTGAGTGGGATGAATGCTCTAGTCACCGGAGCAACCCGAGGCATTGGGTAACTTATTTGTTACTTTCGTTTCATTCAAACTTCATCACTGTTTGTTTTGGCCTGTGCTTTCTGCTGCTGATTCGTTTTTTTATTTTTTTATTTGGAATCAGGCATGCCACTGTAGAAGAACTAGCAGAATTTGGAGCAACTGTGCATATATGTTCCCGTAACCAATCAGACATCGACAAGTGTTTGAAAGAGTGGAGGAGCAAAGGATTTTGTGTCACTGGATCGGTCTGCGATGTGATCTCAAGTCACCAGCGTCAAAATTTAATGCAAACTGTTGCCTCCATTTTTCATGGAAAGCTCAACATCCTTGTAAGCTTCTCTCAGGCTCTTGATTGTTTAATTGGTGGGAAATTTACAGATTTCATTTCAAGGATTATAAATTCTCAAAATTTATGATGGGAAGACTTTAAAAACTGGCATGATTTAGTAAGGCCTTTCGTGTCTCATCTGGCGTCTAAGTCTGCTCTTTTGCTTCATCCTGATCTTTTTCTTGCTGCGTTTGTCATTGTAATAACTCTCAAACTCCAAGGTAACTGAAGGAAGACTAGTTATAACTTTACTAAAGTTGTAACTTGTGCGTGCCTGTGTCTCTATGATCTCATAACTGAGAAGTAAGGAGATAATAACTCTAAAATTGATTTAAGAAAGCTTGTTAGTTACTCAGGTAGCCCCCTAGAGGAGTAAGAAGAGAGAAGAAGAATATGCCATCTTTATTGCTCTTCTCTTCTTTGATAAAATAGTATTGCATCTCTTTCAATCTGGACTAAAATTGAAGTTAACAGCATCAATATAAGCAGTATCTAATTAGACTCAAACTTCACCAGCTTCATTTCTAGCTCAAGTCCCAGTTTAACCCCTTTTAAAAGGACTGTTACTTCATCCATAAAATGTAGACATTGCTAATCACGCAGTAGCAATAAAATTCACCAATTTGAATTCAAGCATAGATTCATGTTCTTTTTTTTCTTTTTTTTTAAATTCTTGTTTGAATTGGGCCTGAAAAAATAATTTAGGTTTGAACGAAGAGTTTCAAGGCTCACCATATCTGTTATATATGAGCCATTGGGTTCTGTCAATGCATCTTCAGATGAAAAAGAATATATCTAGTCATTTCATTCTGTTCAATTTGTGAGCCTTTAGACGTGATGATATTTCTTTCCTAAATTGGTGATCAATGGACTTCAAAAGTTGTTTTCTGTTAGATAAACAATGCAGGGACAATCATATATAACAAAGCCACAGATCAAACTGCAGAAGATGTATCTACTGTTATGGGCACCAATTTTGAATCTTCTTACCATTTGAACCAACTTGCACACCCGCTTCTTAAAGCTTCAGGATATGGTACCATTGTAAATATCTCCTCCATTGTGAGTGGGAAAGCTTTGCCTCTTGTTTCAGCCTGCGCAGCATCCAGGGGTATATCTTTTCAATGAAATATACTTTTTGGTCTCTTAAAGATATTACATGTCAGAACTATTTAGATCTTGGAGGTAACAGTCCATGGAATATGATTACCAATAACAGATAATGAGTCGAGAAGTTTCGGGAAGGAACAAGTGCATTTCTAAGATTCTAGAACATAATAGTTGATAAATGAAATTCCGAATTCCAAGCATTACATTTCCGCTGTCCTTGTTCATAACCTGTGGTAATCTATCATGATAAATTACTTGAGCAAATTAATCCATAATATGATCTGTGTAATTTTATCAGGAGCTATGAATCAAGTCACAAAGAACTTGGCTTTGGAATGGGCAAAGGATAACATTCGTGTAAATGCAGTTGCACCCGGAACTATAATGACATCGCTTTTGGAGTCTAGCTTGGTATAAAACTACAAACTTGTATCTAATTAGTTTATATCCATGATGAGGCATATCATATCAGAAGAATATATCTGCACTCAGTTTTGATCACTTTTCATCATAATACGGTCACCTTTGAAAAGCTTTGCATAGAAAGTCAGTTCAACTGGTAAGAGGAGATAATATCTCTGATAACTTGAGTTTGAATTACCTGCAATGCCTTTGTGGAGAGTACACCGAATGAACTAGACTAATATGATGAAGAAATGCATCCCTAGGATCTCATGAAGAGAGGACTTACGAGTCTTGTTATGTTCTTCTTTCCTGCGCGTGAAATCATGTTACTTCAAGTGAGAATTGATGCTCATTATCTTTGATGTTCTCACAGAAAGAACCTGGTGGAGAAACAGCAGTGAAATCTATTGTATCTCAAACTCCTATGAATCGCACAGGAGAGCCTAAGGAGATATCAGCACTAGTTGCCTTCCTTTGCCTTCCTGCTGCTTCATACATCACTGGTCAGATTATATATGCAGATGGAGGCTTCTCTGTTTAGATGTTTAAATGGTTCTCTCTCTCTTCGCTAATTTTTTTTTTTTCTCCAGGCTTGAATGTAAACGTAATAATGCTCAATTGATAAATATTATCTTTTAATTTGCTATTAATAGAAAACACAACATATTAATTCAAAACTTTCCTTTCGCTTTATTTACCACTTGTATTTCAAATGTTATGCATTCGTGCTCTTAGTTAAATTCATTAACTTTTCAAGTGCAATGACAAGCTCATTCTGCTATGGGAAACAAATTGAGTAAAGTAAAAAGATTTGGGGAGAATTAGATTCAAGGACTACTTTAGAGACTTATTTATAGACAATGACTAATAACAAGTCTCATTTAAAAAAAAAATAAATTCATGTTCTTTTTTTTAATAATAATCTATTTTATATTGGTTTTTTTTTTTACAAATAATTTTTTAAGTGGTTGTTGAATGTGATTCTCCCAAAGATTTATAAGTTTTAATAGGACAAATATTTTAATAAATAATAGTACGTATTATTTTTATTTTTTGAAATAAAGTCAAGTAGATATATACATTAAAATGAAAGAAAAAGGAAAATTAAATGACTCCAATAGTTATAGGAAAACAAGATATATTAAAATCATTCAACGACCACATAAAGCAGCACCAAGCAATAGTCTTGTCATTGAATGGATAAATTAGAGTAGCTATATGTTAGGTTAAAGTGCTTGGCAAAGTACGACCACTTGGCTCAGTTCCAAATTAGAGAATATGAATGTGCCCAAGGTCTGACAAATTCCAATTTCATCTCGTCCAAAACTGTTGAATCCAATAAGATAGGGTACGAAAACATATAACCTGATAGCTTTCCAATTTCATGAAAGGAGATTTTTTAAAAATAATGTCCGGTAAGTGAACTCCCTCCATTACAATTCCATCAGCAATAATAATTGCTTTGTTTCTTTTGAATTCCTTGCATTCAGTTTTCCATAAGTGTACACCGGAAGTTCTTGCGCTGAACGAATTCTCCTTAGTGGAACGATCAACAATTTTGAAACCCAAGAAACCCCTATCACTTCTAATAACTGTGCTTTTAGAGAGATCTTGAAGCGAATCCCATATATTGTTCTATTTAACTACATCAATAATAAATACAGACACAATACACACACACACACACAAAAAGATGGAATAATGGAAAGGTGATGGTCGTAATAAAAAAAAAAAAAAGTAAGGAATTCCAGAACGGTCTATATGCTTTCACGCAATCAAACAAGTTCAAAGAGTTTGATTGTTCCCGCGCATTGGTTCCTCTGAAAATTCATTTCCCTGTTAGTTTAGCTTTCACCTCTCCCCCATCACGTGCATGTATTTAATTAGAGCACCAATACTTGCTCCACTGTCGTCCACTCACTTGGACATCTGAATCTAAATTCGGGTATGGTTAAACCAAATTGAGGAAAACCCTTTTAATAAGTGGTCCTTATACTTGCTTCACTGTCGTCCAATCACTTGGGGATCTAATCTATTGATCAGCATCAATTACAGTGGTCCTACTCTAAGCAAACCATTGTATTATTGTATATGTTGTTTTGTCAAGCTTCACTACCGACTATGTTGTATATTAGCGAATACAGAAAGTGCAGCGTGGCTCGTTCCAACCTCCATGTCAAGTTTTTCCAACTTTTTACACTTAATTTAGACCGCATGCAAGCAATCAATTATAACCACACACGTATACATCTTGTGCTTGTGCATATAAATGCAAATACCACCGACACCTCACAGTCACAGAGACTTGTTGGCTCTTATATCACGCGCCCCAACGTTTCACTGATTAGCAGAGAAATAAACATAAATGGCTGGAGCAATGCTCAAAGACAAGAGATGGTCGTTGAGTGGGATGACTGCTCTTGTCACAGGAGCAACCCGAGGCATCGGGTAAGTTATTATTCGTTACCTCCATTTGATTCAGAGTTGTTCTCTATGTAATCTGGTCTGTGATTTTTCTGATATTGATTCATGTTCATTGATTTGGAATTAGGCATGCTATAGTAGAGGAATTGGCAGAATTTGGAGCAACTGTGCATATATGTTCACGTAGCCAAGCAGACATTGATGAGTGTTTGAAACAGTGGAAAAGCAGAGGATTTAGCGTGACTGGATCAGTATGTGATGTACACTCGCGCGACCAACGTCAAAATTTAATGGGAACTGTTGCCTCCATTTTTCATGGAAAGCTCAACATCCTTGTAAGATTCTCTTTGGTTCTTCATTGTGACTGTGAATTTTCTTGAAAAGGTATGAATGCATTATGTTGTTTGTTTCATTAAAAAATTTAAGTTAAATTACAATGGCTAACAGATTAATTTGACTAAATAACTTCAAAAAAAAAAAGAATTAATGAAAACTAAGGAAGAGGATTTTCTTCAGGCGAGAAAGAGAGGAAAATTTTGATGCATACAACATCGCATGTGGGGCTGACAAACCTTTCTCTCTTTCTTTCTCCACTTAGACTCCCGATTCACTTGGAGAGAATACAATCCCAGTGAGCTAATTATCGCAATGAATATTTTATTTTTTAAAATTAAAGTTTTGACATTGATATTTAAAATGAACTGATATTTAATGGACTCCATAAGCTCAATTACATTTCACATAAATTTTCTTTCACATTCAAAACTGTTCAACTCATTTATTATTTTTAAATACCTATTTTTCTTTTATAAATATTTATATTTATTTTAAAGAATATAGTTTTATTGGGTTGGACCAGTGAATTATAGATGACATTTTATCTTGGTTGAACATCAATATGTATTACTACAAAGACATGATCATATTTCCTTGCTAAATAAATTATACTATAGTGGATTTCAGTTAGTAATTTTCTTCTAGATAAACAATGCCGGGACGGTTGATGTTAAGGAAAGCCTAGATCACACAGCTGAAGATATATCAACTATTATGATCACCAACTTTGAGGCTACTTATCATTTAAGTCAACTAGCACACCCTCTTCTAAAAGCATCAGGATATGGTGTTATTGTGAATATCTCTTCCATTTCCAGTACCAAAGTTTTCCCAGGTGTTTCAGCCTATGCAGCTTCTAAAGGTAAATATATCTTCTCTCTTCAATCAATCATCTATTTCACCTTTGAATGATAATCTAATTACCTGATAACTTCGAGTAACTTGATTGATACGAAATCTGCCGATATATAATTTGATTCAGGAGCCGTAAATCAAACCACCAAGTACATGGCAAGTGAATGGGCGAAGGATAATATTCGTGTCAATGCAGTAGCAGCGGGAATGGTGATGACAGTGCTTTTAGAGTCTTGCTTGGTATAACTATAAGCATATCAATTTCCTGCACTTTTGAATGCTTGCATATCAATTATATTTTAGTACTGTCATGCTGGGACCTGAAAGAGCACGTATGTTGGGAGATCCTCTTGGGTATTTTGTTTCATTGGATTTTGAGAGGATACATATAAATGGATTCCACACTGCATTTTGATCCAAAACTATGCTAGGAATATCACTTTCCTGCGCTTATGTTTCCTATCGTTTTATCAAAATTTGTATGTTGAGATCTTTATCATTATATGTTAATATTGTCCTCTTGGGACTCGAGAATATTACATGTCAAGAAGATCTTTTTGAGCTTTCTGTTTTACTGGACTTGGTACCGTTTATGATGCTCGTTTTAATTTGTTTTCTCAGGAAAAATCAAAATTGGGAAAGAATGCAGAAAATGTTTTTGCATCTCAAATTCCTGTTGGTCGAATAGCAGAGCCTAAAGAGATTTCAGGAATGGCTGCTTTTCTTTGCCTTCCTGCTGCTTCATATATCACTGGACAAGTTATAACTGTAGACGGTGGTTTCACTGTTTAAATAGTATAGCCTCATTTCAATTCTAATAATTGTGTAATTGCTTCAAGTCAGTCAGAAACTCCTAGCTAAGTCAAGTTCATATTTTAATCATTGGGAAGCTACAGTTGACAGCTTTTTAATTTATACTTCAGCAATGACTTCAGCATCCCGACCTCTTCTTTATTTTAATGAAAAATTTATAGCTCTAAGAACCCTCTACACATAACTCATTTTTAAGAATTTCAAACAAACAACTTAGCCCAATTCAAAATATGATGCTAAGAGAGACATGTCATTATTAGTTTATTGTCAAATGGTGAATAATTTGTTCCAGTGACTTAAATATCCTAGCTTTTGCAAATAGTAGATTATAGCATTACTACTATGTACTATGATAGCTTGGAGAAGTAGATCTATTATGAGGTTGGAAGTTTTAAAGAAAATTGTAGCAATTTGAGGCAATTTATAATCAAGTTCTATTAACTACTCTTAGATCCAGGGTGCAGAGTTACAGACCCCTATCACCTCCTAAATCAGCTATGATAAAACAATCCACATCTTCTCTGAAACCTGACAATCCAAATTCTGCTATGAGGCGCTTGATTTTATTCCAAGTAATGTTCCTAATCACAATCAACGTCAACAGAGTTTATTTGTATCGTTTGAGTGTGGTCCTGCTCTGAGAAATATATTGTTGGAATTTCGCTGTCACTGTCTTTGTGACACATCACCCAATCAAGCTGTGAATAACCACATGTATTTTCTTCTGAGTACCACAAGTACCCCGGAATGAAAAAAAATAAAAAATAAAATATTTCTTTGTACAAGTGGACATGGCAATTCCCTCTTTAAACCTAAAAATCACCTCACAGAAGCTGCAGGTCCCTTTCTTTCTCCCTCCCTTCCCTCCTTCTGTGCTCTAGTAGCAAATAAACCTGGTAAGTTATAACTTGAATTTAGTTCAAGGGTCATCTCTATACTTGGTTTGTACTTCCTGCCTCTGATTCATCTTCATTCACACCCCTCATCACTAGACTACTTTTAGTGGCTTCTTTTGTTTGATTCCTGGATATTACAGATTCTCAGATTCCTGCTGATTGGCATTCTGAATTAGTTCTAAATAAATAGATACAAGAAAGGAAGTCCTTAGTTAGATCTCCATGTGCTCTTTGGAATCCATTTGTTTCTCTAATTGAAGCTGACATCACAACCAATATTGTAAGAGTTTATTTTTATTTCTAGACAGTGGCCCTATGATCTTTCATTATGTCTAACTTCCAAATCCAAGTGTTCATGATTCACAAGCAAGCATTTAATTGTCACCACATGTTTCCCAAATTAACGTTACAATTGCCAGATATTATAATCTTTCTAAACAAGTGGACGTGTTGATTTCCTCTTTCAACAACACATCCAGCTCAAAGAAAGTGAAACCTGCTTTTTCCTGCTATATACAACAACTCCTAGGATTCCAGTGTTTGGCAACAAGAGAAATGAGTGAGCCAAAGATTTGACCGCTGAAGATATGTCAACAATAAGGGGAACTAATTTTGAGTCCGCTTACAATTTGAGCCAACTTGCATACCCACTTCTAAAAGCATCAGGATGTGGTAGCATAGTAAACATCTCCTCTACTTTTGGAGTGAAAGCTTCCCCAAAGGTTTCAATCTATGCAGCATCTAAAGGTATCTTTTCTTCAATTTCCTCATTGGTCATCAGCTTCTCCTGTGACAGCAAGTGAAAGAACTTATTTTGAGAGTTATTTGACCGTCACTTATCTGCATAACTTTATTATCAGGAGCTATGAATCAAGTCTCGAAGAACTTGGCATTAGAATGGGCAAAAGATAACATTCGTGTAAATGTTGTAGCACCAGGACCTGTGAAGACCTTACTTTTGGAATATTTTATGGTATAAATACCAAAAATATGTCCAAGTTGTTTGCATATTTCATGAGTCATATCACTGATTTATTTTAAGTGCAGCTGCAGGGTCAAGCTTTCAATCTGATTATCTTTAAAGACAACTAAGAAATTTTGAATCATTTTTCCCATCATCTACTACTGTATCTGAATCACATTTCTCATGTTATCAAATGACAGTTGATGCTATGTTGCGTACTTATAATCTGCCTTGATTCCAGCTGTTCTCACAGAATGCAGCTAAAGGGGAAGATGTAAACAACAAAGCGCCTGAAACTCCCGTCAAACATCGCGCCGGAGATCCTAAAGAGATTTCAGCGATAGTTGCTTTCCTATGCTTACCTGCTACTTCATACATCACTGGACAAGTTATAGTTGCAGATGGAGGTTCCATACTTTAAAAAATACTTGTTTTGTCACTTCCAGGTTATTCTGTAACTTTATATCATTGAAGTCAAGGATTAGAAACTCCAAATTAGTAACATGTTCTTGGAATGTAATTGATTGTTGATTGTATAATGGGAACGCTAGTGTATGAAAAGCATGCGAGGGAGATAAGCACCAAACTCACCTTGTACTTGTCACTCAAGACATGTATGAACTCAGCATGTTACATATTGTTGCGTGCACAATCCTTTGGTCTTTTTCTTTCCTAACATTTACCGTTGGTTTGGGAGAAAAATAAGAAACACAGAATACTAGGAGAGAAAATTTTCAATATAACTTCATTCAACTTGTCTCTTCTCTTGGATTGTCTGTCTGGTTAAGTTATGGACAAGAATGAAGCACTAGAGATATCAACAACAGAAGAGTTAATGTCTTCTCTAAGGCTGGTGAGTGGTCCTCCTCTGACAAGATATATACATGGAAGCATTTAACTAGAACCACACGTCTTTAGGGGCGGTTTCGTTTGTGAAATTTTTTTAAAAATAGGAATTAAAATATGAATGAAATGTGATGGAATGAGATTGATGTTTAGTGGCAAGAATCTTCACTGTTTACGTGGCAATAGGAATATGACTCCTGAGCTGAGTTGTCTGGTTGAGACTTCCCCTGCTCCATGCATCACTGGTCAGATTATAAGAAACGGAATAACGCTGACATGAAACGCTAGCCACGTTGCGCCAACATGAAATGCCAGCCACATTACGCCATGAACATTCATCCGTTTTACAAGTGTTAATCTCCTTTGTTCATTATAGTTTTCATTTCAGTTGTAACCCCTTCCTATTTCAGAAGTATAAATAAAGGTGCTTTATACAATGTAAGGGGCAGCAATTCTTCAAAGAATAAACGAAAGTTTCTTTCATCCGGTTTCTGAACCATTTTGGTATTAGAGCTGATTCAGAGAGCAAGAGAGTGAGATACGATTGAAGAATTACGTCGGAGAAGAGAAAGATTCAGAGGAGGAGTCCCTGACGTCTTCACGTTTTGCAATATAGGTGTGTTTTTTTTCAAAAACTGGCATTACCATCATACTCACAAGGTCTGAAAACATGGAACACAAGGTTCCTCGTCTGGAAACACTATCATGCACCACGACTTGAAGACCATGCAATTGCTAGAGGCTGAAGACAACGATGTCATTTGATCAACAACAGATCAACTCAATTATGATCTACCACATGTCACCACAGCCACATCCTTCCCAGTTAGCATATTTTTTTTTAAAATTTCAGTTTGACCCCAAACCTTTCAATATTTTCATTTTGACCCTAAACTTTTAAAATTCCATTTTGACCCCTAAGGTTTCTAAAATTTCATTTTGACCCCAATATTTTCACAAATTACACTTTGACCCCTTAACTTTATATAAATTCCATTTTAACCCACATATTTTTCTAGAATTACAATTTTGACCTCTATACTTTTCAAAAGTTTCATTTTTACCCTTATATTTTTTTAAATCCCCATTTTTCCCTTAAACTTTTCAAAATTTTCATCCTACCCCTATACCCTTTCAACATTTCCATTTTACTCCTATATCTTTTTAACATTTTCTATTTGCCCTTAAATTCACCAAAATTCTTATTTACCTTATTTTTTTCTAGAAATTCCTTATCCTAACCCTGACACTTAATAAAATTCCTTCAAGACTCAAAAATGTGTACGAGGTTGTGATTGAAGAGATGAGACGTAGGATATAAGAATTGGAAGCTATTGTGGAAATGTAGTGAATTCTATTAGGCATTAACAGAGAAAACCCAGAAGGAGATTTGAGAAGCAGCGGTTCGTCATCCACTGACAACCACTGCCATCCTTAACAACAACACTTTCATCCTAATGACATTAAAGTAGACATTCCTGAATTCAAGAGAAGACTCCAACCAGAAGAGTTACTAAACTAGCTTTAAATTGTTAAGCGTGTATTTGAATATAAGGAGATTTCATATGCATAAAAGTCGAGATTGTTACCCTCAAACTCAAGAAACATGCCTCCATTTGGTGGGAAAACCTCAGACGAAAGCGAGAATGTAAGGCGAAGTGCAAGATTGAGACCTGTGAGAAAATGAAACGCCTGTTCACTGGGAAATTTTTACCAATCCATTACACCAGGACAACTTTTTCCAACTACAAAATCTTTGACAGAGGTCCTTATCTGTGGAAGAATCTACCAGAGAATTTAAACAACTCATTATGAAGTATAACATTCAAGAGAAGGAGGAGCAAACAATAGCGTAATACCTTGTAGACTTAAACACTAACATCAACCGTCCAATCTAGCTTCAACAATATTGGACTTTGGATGATATAATATGTCTAGCCTTGTGAGTTGAAAAGCAAACACCTAAGAGAACATTCGTCCAACCTTCTTCCTCCAGGGGTTATTCAAATGGCCATAAGGTAGAGTTTTAGCAAACCAACCCCTCAAGCAAGCCGCAATCTAATGCTATGCATAAGCCACCACCAAATGCTGCTAAGGAATCTGGCTCTAAAGCAATCAAATTCTTTAAATGCTAAAAATTTGGTCATATTGCTATAGATTGTCCTACTCGAAGGGTTGTCACCATTAAAGAAGGGCAAGTGTATGAAGCACTTGAAGAAGATGAGGAGGAGACTAAGTCTTACAAAACTAATCCAGCATATGACAAAGAGGTCATGCCTACAGATCAGAGTGAAGCATTGGTGATTAGATGAAGTCTACATACAATTGTAGTTATGAAAGAACCCTGGCTATAGTGTAACATTTTTCACACTCGTTGCACGGCACAAGGAAAAGTTTGTAATGTCATTATTGACAATAGAAGCTGTGAAAATGTAGTGTCTAACTACATTGTGAAGAAATTAGAGTTGCCCACACATGATCATCTGCATCCTTACAAGCTTCACTAGCTTAATAAGGGGAATGAGGTAAAAGTTTCTGAACAATGCCTTATGACCTTTTCTGTTAGGAATAGATATTGTGATGAAGTTTTGTGCTATATTGTTCCCATAGATGCATGCCACCTTCTTTTGAGGAGACCATGGCAATATGATCAACATGTTATCATAACAGGTATGCAAACACCTATTCTTTCACGAAGGATGGTGTCAAGTTCACATTGATGCCTCTACCACCTAATGAGATTAGCCAATTTTTGAGAGAATCTAAGTCATTGGTGTCTTTAATGATTAAGAAAGAATTCAAGGTGACTAAGTCTGAAGCCCAAATGATGGGCTTCATTCTAGTGTTTGAGGTAAATGATGAGTCTACCAATCCATTAGTAGTCATTCCTTTATTGCTTGAATTTTCAAATATGATATCTAATAAGATGCCACCTTGGTTGCCACCCATACAAGACATACAGCACACTATTGACTTTATTTCAAGAGCAATCATTCCTAATAAGCCTGCCTACAAGATGAGTCTCTAAGAACATGGCGAAGTCCAATGATAAGTTGAAGAGTTATTGAAGAAAGTGTTAGTTCAAGAAAGTGTTAGTCCTTATGCTATACCTGTCCTTCTAATACCTAAGAAGGATGGGAGTTGGAGAAAGTGCATTGACTGCTAAGTTGTCAATAAGATCATTATTAAATATCAATTTTTGATACCCTAGCTCGATGAAATGCTAGACCAGTTACATGGTACCACTACCTTTTCTAAAATTAACCTTCGTAGTGGATACCACAAAATCAGAATTCGGCTAGGAGATGAGTGAAAGACCACTTTAAAGACTAAAGATGGCTTGTATGAATGGAATGTGATGCATTTTGAATTGACAAATGCCCCTAGCATGTTTATGCACCTAATGAATTAGGTATTGAGACCTTTCATTAGCAAGTTTATTGTTGTGTACTTTGACGACATTCTTATTTACAGCAAGAGTCAAGAAAAACACTTAGAGCATTTATGGCAAGTCTTGTAAGCCTTGCAAGAATGGAAGCTTTATGCTAATCTCAAGAAGTACACCTTCCTCACCAATAAAGTTATGTTCTTATGTTACATCATTACTATAAAGGGTGCTTGAGTTGATCCAAGCAAATTTGTAGCCATTGACAGCTGGCAAACTCCAAAATCTATCTAGGAGGTTTGAAGCTTCCACAGATTAGCTTCTTTCTACAGGAGGTTCATCGGCAATTTGAGCTTGATTACTGCACCACTTACAAATTGCACCAAAGAAGAAAAATGTTAGTAGATAGAGCAAGCTCAAAAAAGGTTTGAGGAGCTTAAGAAGAAATTGATTGAAGCTCTCGTTTTACCTCTTCCTAATTTTGACCAAGTATTTGAAGTTAGCTGTAATGCTTCCAATATCGACATTGGCACTATCTTAAGTTAGGAGGGTCATCCCATTGTCTTTTTCAGTGAGAAGCTCAATGATGCTTTGGTATTCTACCTATGACAGAGAATTTTATGATGTTGTTCGAGCTCTCTAACATTAGAGTTACTAGCTCTTAAATAAAGAATTCATACTCTTTTTTGATCATGAGGCACTTAGGTATTCTACCTATGATGAAGAATTTTATGCTGTTATTCGAGCTCTCTAACATTAGAGTTACTATCTCCTAAACAAAGAGTCTATGCTCTTTTCTGATCATAAGGCCCTCAAGTATTTGAATTCTTTGCAGAAGATTAGCTACAAGCATTCCCAATTAAGTGAAATATCACAGTCTTATCCATTCCTTATTAAACATAAGGCTGAAACTTTGAACTCCATAACTAATGCTCTAAGCCATTGACATATGCTGCTTATAACAATGCAAGCCAAAGTTGTTGGGTTTGAACTTGTCAAAGAGCTGTATTAGGATGATCTTGATTTTTGAGGAGTGTGAGAAGCAACTACAAATCAATCTTTCCACCAATTCTATAGATATGACAGGTTTCTATTGCGAGGCAAAACCCTTGCATTCCACGAGGTTTCTTAAGAGAGGCCATAATTTGGGAAGCACATGACAGTAGATTAGCTGGACATTTTGGATGAGATAAAATGGTTGACCTAGTAAAGGAGAACTTTTACTAACTTCGACTTGAACGGGATGTAAGTAGGCATATATAGAGATGCAGAATTTACTACTTAGCCAACTCCAAGGATCAAAATACCTTGTTATATATGCCTTTGCTAATTCCAAAAGCACCTTGAGAAGATGTGATCATGGATTTTATTCTGGGTTTACCACGGACTCAGAGGCAAGAAGTTTCTATCATTGTAGTTAT